ACTGCAGGGAACGGAAATCCTGAGGGCGTGGGCAGGAAACCGCGGGCAGAGCGCGGTCTCCCCCGCCGGGGCAGGCGTGTGCAGGGCTCCGAGGCACCCGGCTGCTTTCTACCACCTTAGCACCGCCTGGGGCTTGGGAAGAACTTAGTTTTTTTATTTTTGAGACAGAGGTCTCACTTCTGTTGTCTGGGCTAGAGTGCCGTGGCGTCAGCCTAGCTCACAGCAACCTCTAACTCCTGGGCTCAAGTGATCCTTCTGCTCAGCCTCCCGAGTAGCTGGGACTACAGGCATGCGCCACCATGCCCGGCTAATTTTTTCTATATATTTTTAGTTGTCCAGATAATTTCTTCCTATTTTTAGTAGAGACGAGGTCTCGCTCTTGCTCAGGCTGGTCTCGAACTCCTGACCTTGAGCGATCCTCCCGCCTCAGCCTCCCGGAGTGCTAGGATTACAGGCGTGAGCCACCACGCCCCACCCAAGAAGTTAGTTTTGTCCCCAAGTTACAACTATTTTAGGTCACTGCTGAACAGGCGGGATGCAAAATACCATCGGCAACAGTCTCTTTCTTGGCCTTCCCAGAGACCCGACCAGGACCCACACGTGCTTCCCGGAAAAGCCCTGCCACTCAGAAAGTTGGTTCCTTTACAGAAAGTGGGAGAAATTTGTCTTTAAAAAAAAATCAGCACCAGAGAAACAACGTCCACAAGAATGAACTTTCTTTTCCGAAATCCTTTATCTTCCTGCACCCTGGCTCTAAGAGACAAACGACCAGGGGCTTTCAAGAAATTTACTGCAGAACACAGTAATCAGCATTCTGGCTTTGAAAATATAGAAGCCTGCGTGTAAGTTCATCTCCCAGACACCGTGAGCAGCACTGTGCAGAATCTGACGGACTGAGACAGTAGCTTGCCTGGGTCTTGGAACGAGGGCGCCGCAGCCCGTAGTTCCCAAGTCCGGCCTGCCACCGCCCCCAGCGCTCTGCTGGGGACCCAGACAAACAGACAGTGACCACGTCCCAAGTCAGAGTCTGCTGCCCAGGTCAAGTGGAAACCGGGAGTCCGTGAATTCTCTAAAGGTGAATCTTATTTAAAGGAACCTCCTTGCGGAGACCAGACCGTCCTGCCCTGCAAGCCACACAGACTGGCAGCGGGCAGGAGGGAGGACGCCCCCAGACTGATGGGAAGGACCGCCAGAAAGCAGCCTGGTCCGGCACGCGGTGTCTCCACCCTCGGGCGAGACACGAGCTCACGTCTCTGTGTGTGGGTTCCAGGTTAACGGAGTGGACCTTCACTTCGTGGAAGGTGAGAGCTCACCTGTGGTTCCCCATCTGCCTCTACCTCCCACCCACTTGCGCGTGTAGCTGGTGCTCAGACGAGCAAACGTACCAGTGAGTGGGCGATGACCCAGCCTGCCCGTCTGTGTCTCGATACCCGGGACGCCAACAGACATCTCCCTGGGAGGGACCCAAAAGCCACGTGCCAGTGGCCACTTGGCAACCCCATGAACGAAAGAAAAGGAAACAGATGCTACGCTTCCCCATGGATTTTACAATTTTCCTTCTGCTGTGGGACACTAAGAAGTGAAAAGTTAAAGCAGCAAAGAATGATGAGGTCCTTGTCTCCTAAAGTAAACCTGGGTGGCCGGCCACTAGGAGCTCGGATGCCCCAGGGGCTACCTGGCTTGCTTTCTTCTTTTATATATAAGGCTAAATGTTACATAGAAGTAACACACCTTTTATTTCTCTTTCTATAGAGAAAGAGGATAAGAGAAAGATATAAAGATTAAGAGAAGATATAAAGAAAGACATAAGAGAAAGATATAAAAGTAAGTACAAATAAGCCCTAGAACATAAAAGAAGCCAAAATCAAAGTCAAAATCTAAATAAACTGAACTGTGAGCGGGCAGTGACCCTGCGGCTGGACGCACCCTCGGCCTGGCCTTCTTCCCCCGGCCTGCAGGCAGGGCCGGTACATCCTCAGGGCCCAAGGACCCGGTTCGCTTCTGTTTTAACGACAAATCGGCCCAGTGCTGTGGCCAAGGCCAGGCGCTCAGGTCCCGACGGAGGACGCAGTCCAGCCTCTGTGCCTTGTCCAGTCCCAGAACTTCTCCGAGCCTCCATTTCTTCAGCCATAAACCTTAGAGTTTCCCCTTGAGGACACTTACTGTTAAGGATGGCTGAGTCCTGGTTACAGCCCCTGCCTCGTTAGCAACCACTGTGATCACTGACAATGAAAGACTCTGTGATTTAAATTTAAAAAAAAAAAAAGGAAACACATAAAACATGTAAGATGGCACTACTTTGAAAACTATCTTCATATAAATAAAAATACTTTAAGAATAAATAAAATCACAAGAATCACAGAAGCCTACAGCATCACAGGTATTACTTCCTTTTCAGATTCTATAAATTCCAAATATTTAACGGGAATGTCTTACTCTTAAAAATAAGAAAATAATAAATGGAAACCTCCCGAGCCTCTGAAGCTACCACTGATCAAAGCATCACCACGTGAGCTACCCCAGCAAGGGAAGTACTTTAATACGTTAAAGCGATGACATTTGGCAGTGTCGTTCCTTACTCCCCTCCTCTTGCCAACACCCCAGTCTGAAGAGGGCGATGAAACGCTTCCAATACACAGTTGACAGCCTGACCACTGCCTGGAACATTCTGGGTGTGTTACGGACTGAATGTCTGTGTGTCCCCTCCTCCCTCCTCCAAGCCGTATATTGAAATCCTAACCCCCAGTGCAACGGTGTTAGCAGCGGTGGCTCTGGAAGGGGATTAGGTCATGATGGCGCAGCCCCCTCAAATGGGACCCGTGGCCTTACGAGAGCAGAAACGAGACAGGGACCTCCCGCCCCGTGCTCCCACCACGTGACACACAGCAGACCAGGAAGGGGGGGGCTTCCCCAGACCCCAGATCTGCAGCTTGACCTTGGACTTCCCAACCCCCAGAACCGTGAGAAATGCATCTCTGCTGCTACAGCCACACAGTCCATGGTCACACGTCACAGCGGCCAGAACGGGCTAAGACGACAGGACGTTCGGCAGGCAAGCGCTGTACCCTCGCCAGCCCCCAGTATTAATTTATGTGATTATTTTGACAAGACGAATTCATTTATTAGTGGAAAATTCGTATTTGCTGACCACGATAAATGTAAAAGCGAAGCCAGTGATCATGGAGAATAAACGCGTCCCTACAGCTCAGCTCGCCCACCCGCATCGGGGCGGGCACACTCTGCAGCGGGCCAGCGAGTGCCTGTTGGGGCTTCACAGGCCGAAAAGCCTGTTACAACCTCACAACGCTGCCACTGTCATGGGGAGCAGCCTGGACCCAGCTGCGGCCCGTGACAGACGGGCCCTGTGCTGCAGGGAAGTGTACTCACAACGACGGGCAGGGCCACATTTGGTCGGTGGGCCCCAGCCTGGGGACCCTTCGTCTACTACACTTCACTGCAACTTCCCCCTGGGTTCGGGCTACGCAACCACGAAGGGTGACCTTGCCCTGTTAGGGCCCCTCCCGGGGACGCCAGGTGCTTCCTCCCACGCGGCTCCACCGGTCCCGGCCACGGTCGAGGAGCCGCGCGGGCTGGAAGGCGGGCCGGCTACCCACGGGGCGCTCCCAGTGCTGCCGGCACGAGGGGCCGGGGGCAAATGCCGCATGGGAGGAAGAAGGGGCTGCAGGAGCCTGGGGACTTCATTCTGCCTCAGACCTGGCTTTGGGACAGGTGAGAAGACAGGTGAGAAGAAAGGTGAGCTGAGAAGGGATCCACAGGGAACGTGTGGAAACCACGTAACCGCCCAGGACGCGGAGTCACGGGAAGGGATGGCGGGCAGAGAAAGGAAGCTGGCTGGCTAAAGGAGGGGAGGAAACGCAAAGCCTGAACACCCACATGATCGTTAGCAAAATACTGAAAATGTGGCATGCCTATGATTTCACCAGAAAACTAATTCACATATTTAAAAGCAAAGCACAGGTTGCCCAGTTTGGGGGGAGTCCCACCAGGGGCAGCTTTACAGCCTGTGTTTTCATTAATATTAACGAATCGTCTTTGGGATCGGTGCAGGGGGGCCTTGATCACCTCCGAGCGGTTTGGGCAGCCTCTGAAGAGCCCCAGCCTGGCTGTCCGCTCTGCTCCCTGGCAGCCCGCCTGGCACCAGAGCAGGGCACACAGGTGGCTCTGCCCCCACGGGTTTACCGTGACTCCCATCAGAAACGGGACCCTCTGCCAGGGGCAGGCTTCTCCCCAGTGTCCGACTCTGAAAGAGCCACTTTATCCAGGACCTTCCTGCCCCCGACCACCCCCCGCACAGCCCACCCCACAGCCCTGCGCAAACCCTGCACAGCCTGGCCTCTGCCATGGCAACCACGCACGTGTGTCACCCCGCTGCAGAGCCTCACGCCCGCTAGGAGAGTCTCCTGCCTGGGGGACAGCGGTCCCCGGAGCGGGCGGTCGATAAGGAACACGACAACATGAAACAACTCCTAAGTGCTGGTCATCACCGCTCTCTGCCACCAGTCCTGTCCTGTGATTCTTTCTTTTTTTATGGTCCCCACTTGGCTCTCTCTCCCTTCAGTTTATTCTCCTCAAAGCCTAACATCAGATATGTAAATGCTTCTTAAAGACAGGGTTGGATAAATGATGACGACAATAAAGCAATGGCCATGTATGTGCAGGCCTCACAGAGCAGGCGAATAAATACTCTAGAATTTGCATCCTGCAAACAGAAAGCTCACGTAACGCGACACTCAGACCCCACCACAGGGTCATTTTAAGGCAGATGCCTGCTTGTCTCCGCTTGGCATGCCATCTTGCAGGGGACAGAGCTGACAAGCGCCCCTCCAAGGGAGTGCTCACATCTCCATCCTAAGCCCGCTGCCCAACGACTTTCCTGCCGCTCCCGTGCAGGAGGACTGTTGCCCTGCAGCGCCGCCTGCACCCCCACATCGCCACCTGCACCCCCACGTCGCAGCGCATTCACGGCGGCGAGCATTTACCGTCCTGGAAGACCCTCTCCACGTTCAGCCCGTAGGTGGCGCAGGTCTCGTAGTAGGTGCAACGCTTCAGGTCGTTGGACAGCTTCCGCGCCCGGGCGTCGTCGATGACCCTCGGGTTGGTGGAACTGATGGCATCTGGAAGAGGAGACCCAAAAGTCACAACACGGTGACAGCAAACAGCTCTAATCACTTCCTACGACTTCGGGTCCCCGAGTCGCAAAAAAACTTGCCCGCTTCTCGGCAGAGACGCGATTCTTTTGTGAATCTGGGGTTTCTAAAACACAGTTTAGCTCCCATATAGTCCCGAACACCAGAAGAGTCGTCCATTTATTGGTGGAAATTTGTTTTAGGGGAGAGCTTCTGAAAACTGAAATAAAACAACATCCAGAAAGGCCAGCAGGAAGGAGTAAGAGCTGAATTTGCCTCTAGAGGAAACTACTTAAATGAAATAGAAAGAAAGAAACCACAGTCGTTATTTTCAGGTCACCTTCTACGCAGAGCACCCTGCTAAATGCACTCTGTACTCGGGCGTATTCTTCCAGGTGTGGGCCCTTATCCAGTGACCCTTTTAATAAATGCTCGCCGGGCCCCAACAGGAGTCTGGGCCTGCTCTGTGCACAAGGATGGCCCAGTGAACAGGACAGACAGCACCGTGTTGTCACGGAATGCACGTTCCCGCTGGCCAGGGAGGGGGCAGAGCCCAGGCGAGCCACGTGTGATGCGTGAGTAGGGACGTGAGACGCGTGGTGCTCAGTGAGGCAGGGAAGGCGCTCCGAAGGCTGGGGCGGCTCTGGCTTTGCAGGAAGGGCTCAAGGAACCCCCTCACCTGCAGCAGGTGAGAGTGGCTGGGCACTACCTGGGAGGAGCACCTGAGGCAGGGGACGCAGGGCGACAGGTGTGTCTCAGGGAGATGCAGGGGGAGGGGGCGGGAGTGAGGTGTGCAGAGGGGGAGTCCCCGAGGGCCACCAGCACGTGTGGGGTGAGCCCCTGAGGCTGTGACAGGACTCCTGGGGTCTCAGGTGACCTGGGTGCATCTGTGCACAGCGATGTCTCGGCACCAGCCACTGCCCCAGCCCCACCACGACCGGGCCGCGCACAAATGTCCACGGCGCTGCGCCCAGGCACCTGCCAGAGACTTTCCAACCTGAGGCTTGTTCAGAGGGCTCGAAGGCCCTCAATGCAGACAAAAACAGCAATTCTTTAAACAAAAATCCACCAACAGATTTCCCTGTTATTCAGAGGAAGAACAACACAGGTGACATGAGATAGTGACACGAGAGAGCAACAACCTTTTAAACCTCACTTACTTCTGCGTGGGAAGGGCATTCGGCACTCCAGTATCTGAACTATATTTAAAAAGTGACATCTTGGGGACATAACTGATTCATTTTTTTTTCCCCCTCCATCATCCCTTTTCTCCTATTTTTTTCCCCTTTAACCCTGTGAAGTGGGTCTGAACTGACATTTCGTGATGACCCGCAGGTGTACTAACTCTGCGAGTCACGGCTCTTTCACCGACAGCGCCAGCACGCTCTCCACAGCCTGTCCCCTCACCAGGGGGACAGGGTCAAAGAGCACGTCCTCCTGTCTTCCCAATTAGTAAATCTGACCTGCATTTCACAGCATTTAAGGAATATCAGTATTTTTTAAAGGCATGAACACGTTTGAAGAAAATTGTAGAACAGTTAAACGCCCACAACCTTTCGACGCTTTAGCGCAATGTGGAGATGCCCAGGCCCAGAGCACCCCCTTTATCCTGACCTGGGCCCCAGCGATCCCTCAGGCCCTCCGTCCCCAGTGGGACCCCACTTGTCAAATCTCGGCTTCAAGGGGCACTAAGCTCGCCTTTGTCAGGGCAAGGAGACAGACTTCTAGACTCGTGCTCCAAGTTTCAGTTCTATATCAGTCTCATTTTTCATTCATTTCGCTTTTAACTCTGCAGCTTTTCTATAGATACTGCCGTGCCCTCAAATTAATTTAGTTTGCAAGTCTTTAAAACAGAGCCTGTTTAACAAACACTAGACAACTGGCTCACCAGTCACTTCCCGTCCAGCTATGAACGTCCAGGCAGCTCCCTGAGGACTGCGGGGATGGGCGCTTGCCCTGCGGGCCGCTCCCCACCTGGCCTGGCCCCATGCCAGGCGTCCTTAAGGAAGGGACTTAACCCATCTCCGTTTTCCTTCCCATCTCATAACCTCTGACCCCTAAAGCCACTTACCCCACCCAGCAGGGAGGGAAACCGCAGGTCCCGTCTACACCCTGGCCTGCCTTTCGTCTCCGGCACCCCGAGAAGCAGGTGCAACAGCAGCAAGAACGCACAGGCTTCCAGAACGCAGGTCTCACCGTGATCGAGCACCTGCACGCGGAACCCCCGAGGCCACGCTCACCCCACCTTCCTGCCATCCAGGCTTCCGGGAGGGAGGGCCATCCTGGAGCATGGGGTGGCCGGACTCAGAGCCTCACCTGGGGCCTCCCCGGGCATTCCACAGCTGATAGACAGATGTTCGGGGAATTAGTGGAAATGAAAGGGAGCCATTTCTTTTAACTCAGGGACCTCAGTTTCATTAGGGTTTCCCCCAAAGTCCCTAAGGAGCCGCTCGTGGCCTCCTCTCCGCATTCACAAGCCTCCCTCCTCTCTGGGGCAGGGACGGAGAGCCGTGCTCTGCAGCCCGAGCAGGACCTCAGGAAAGCACACCCTGGAAGATGAGGAGCAAGAGCAACTCTCGGCAGACACCAGTCATGGGCCCACTGAGGCCCCACGAGCTCCTCTATGTAACCCGCCAGCGCCCGGAGGGGCAGAAGTCAAGGTCGCACAGCCGGCACAGGTCACACCCAGGTGCAGGTGGCCCCAATCGGCGCTGAGAGAACACACCCATCAAAGCGGATCTTTCCAGCCCAGACTGGGAAGGTGACTGCCACTCTCCACGGCAACTGACTCTGCTCAGAAATGTCTCGGGCAAGCCGCAGCAAGAGCCGCTTGTTTAGAATTAATTTCTACAACTGCAAGGCAGCTTTAAGCAGAATCCGCCTGAGAGAAGTACCCACTTGAAAACACTACTTACTAGGCATCTGCAAGACGCCTCCGCAAATATGACAATTCTGTGTATTTGTAACAAGAACGAACCAAGGACTTTTTGTTGTGTGGCCTTGCCTCCCGGTAGCCACTAGAGGGCGCTCTAGGCACAAAGAACCTGTGCTCGGCCCAGGTTAGGACCAACCTGTCCGCCTGTTCACGCCTCCTGCTCCCAGGCTGCAGGAATGACAGTGACCACCAGCCACGACGTGTCTGCTTTCAAAATCAGGGGGCTGCTCTCCATGAAAACCAAGCTCTAACATGTTACGTCTAGCACACTGAGAAAAAGCTTTTTGTTTACTTCACGCTACTTTATTTCCCTCAACACACACGCCTACCTCCGTGACTTGGGCTTCTGCAGCCAACTGCCCAGCCTGGGCTCTTGCTCACTACACCTCCGATCGATTAGTGCGATGCCTGTGTTACCCCCTACCCCCAGAGTCTCGCTCTGTCACCCCAGCTAAAGTGCAGTGGCATCATCGTAGCTCACTGCAACCTCAAATTCCTCTGTGCCTGGCTAGTTTTTTTCTATTTTTAGTAGACATGGGCTCTTGCTCTTGCTCAGGCTGGTCTGGAACTCCTGGCCCTAAGCAATCCTCCTGCCTCGGCCTCCCACAGTGCTAGGATTACAGGCGTGAGCCGCCCCGCCCAGCCCCACATAGCTAATTCTTAGTGAGAAAAGGCTTACATCGGGAAGGGCATACTAGATATGCTAATTCTGAAGGAACTAGCAAGAGCAGTTACTAGCAGTAACTAAAAAAAAAAAAAATAGAGAGATAATACAATTTTTCTTGACATGCTTATTGAAGTTATCCATATTTCTGACAAAGCGGTTTTAAAGTTAAGCTTCACCTGATTTTTAAAAACATTTTTAAAAACATTTAAAAACATTCCCTGGGAGATCTTAGTGAGACCCCAATGGTACACCCAGATAAAATTGACTGTGTGACCAAGAACAAGGGTGCTGTCTCTGATCCCATGTGACGGTCACTTTATTAAGAAGAAGTTTTAAGTGACCTAGAAGAAAACAAGAAACGTGCCCAGTGTTATTCTATCCCAAGGGACCTGCCAGATTAAAAATAAGATACAGATCACAGGACACTGACAAGTAGAACAGAACACAACACAAGGAAACTCGGCTGTATGTCAGAAATCAACACTATTTTAAAAGATGCACCAATAGTTAAAATAAGCTTTCCGATTGCTTACACATTATTTTATACAACAGAGAATTAAAAATATCAAAATGTAGATGAGAAAACAAGAGAAAACAGATCTTATTTTTCTAAAGTACTGGGGGGGGTGTGTATTTTCAGGTTGTCGAGTGGTTTCAGAATAGAGTCAGGAAACGTGACAGTTAATTTCAGTCTCATAAATTCTCGTGGTAGAAAGGGAGGCTTCGGCAGGCGATTATTCCTTCCTTGAACCCTTCTTAAATCCCTCCCTGCCAAAAACCCAGACCGAGAGTGCGGTGACTGCCCAGCCGTCCCAGCCCTTCGGGAGGGACCCGCGTGTGGTCGCCACTCACCCTGCGTCCCCACCAGCACGAGCGGGACCTCGCTCGTGTTCCGGTAGCTGGCCATCCGGCTGTAGTAGTGGTAGACGGTCTGGAAGCTTATCTCGTCCTCCAAGCTGAAGACGAACACCACGGCATCCACCCACATGGCGAACTGCGGGGAGGAGAGGGCAGAGACGAGTGAGGCTGGCGGAGGCGGCGGGAAGGGCCTGGACCACCCCGAGAGCAGCGCAGCCGGCGTGGCCCGGGTGGACCCGCCTGATGCTGACCTTTGACCTCGGTTATTATGCACTGTGGCATCACTGACCCTCCTCCTGGGCCCCGAGGGCCTCCGTGTCGCCCTCGGGAACCAGCCCTCATGCTGCTCCGCCGGGCCACTGTCTTTATGTCCCCGGAATGTACGGCCGCTGCCCTGACCCCGGCGCCCACAGTCCTGCAGAGAGAAGGCCAACTCCCCTCCCAGCACAGCCTCCCAGCCCCCAGAATCCTTCTGTTTTACATGCAGCCTCCTCTGCAGACACTCCGGGAACCCTGCTGGGCCCCCCAGCCAGCACAGGGACCCCCCACCGTCCTTCCCGCCCCACCCCGGCTGCCGGCCCACGCTGTAGGAGTGTGTCGCCAATGGGACACAGACTCCTGCAGCGCCCTGCCAGGGAAGCCTGCTTATTCTTAGGGAGATGAACAAAAATTAGGGGGGAAACCTCACAGCAGCCTGGCTCTTGCTATTCTGCTCTTATTTTGCACGTGCCCAGCATAACCCCACACCAAATCCTTCCTGACAAGGACCCACGCGGTCAGGCGTGTGTGAACTGATTATTAACAGCACTGAAAACCGCCTTGCAGAGCCAGAGCTCAGCGAACGGAAGCTCCTTGCAGGTGAGTAGCTGCCTGCACTCTCCCTACAACCGGCACGGCGGACTCGAGATCGGATCCGTGTGGCACCAAGACCCTTCTCTTTCCAAGCGGAAGTGGAAAAAAACATGTATCCGTTTGCTTCCTCTAAAAGAAGCTGCAGTTCCGCAGTTCCTAGATAAGTTTTTATGTCCAAGGTATCATGAATACATGCGGGCAGATTTTTTACGGGTTAAACTCTGACTTCCACATGTAACTGAAAATGGTAGTCGGTTATACGTAAAACATTAACATGATAAAACTTTTAAAAAACCTGAAGTTCGAATGATAAATATAAAACTAAGTGAGGAAGAGAGCTCAGGAAGGAGAAGCCTGGGGCAGACCTAGGAACCCGAGGGCTCCTCCAGGGAGCACAGCGCCGGGGCCACAGCAGTCTCTCCTTTTCCTCTTCTCTGCCTGGAGGGATGTTTGCCCGTCTCTTCCAAGAACGTCTCTTCCAAGAACGGGGCAATCAGAGCTGCACCGGCTGTCCTGTCCTGGGGCCAGAACTCAACTCCCAAGACGGAAGCTGGGGTACATCTGACCCTACAGAGAGGATGCTCGGAGCACGGCCATTCTCCTGAGGGTGCAGGTGACCTCCCCAGCACCTCGTGGGTGGTGGCATCAACAGATAACGCCCCCCTCCCATGGCTTCCTTTTCCTTAGAAAACTAAAGCTTTGAAAGAAAGAAAACTGTCAGCTACTTGGCAGAGTTTTACACCACCCTAAAATGACAGTGGTAGCCGCAAGTCCTGCGATGTCTTTTGTGAAGTCAGTGTCTTTAGGTAGACCGTATTAAATGATCTGTAATAATGGAAAGAAAGGAATCCCGTCCATAGCTTCGAAAAGCTTCATCTTGATACTCCCCGAAGTATTTAATAGAAATCTGCGCTTTAAAAACAAGCAAGCTTCAAGAACAAGGTGATCACCTGGGAGAGGGAGCAGACGCCTTCTCCCAGCCAGGGGCCGGGTGGGATCCTGGGGGTCCTGGCTCCACCCCCAGTGGGTGAAAAGGGAGGAAAATGTTATTTTTATCAAATGACATGACATATTCTCAGCATCTCGGGCTCTATAAAAGATGCATTTCCTGGGCTCGAACTTCTTTGTAAGCAACCTTTTCCCCTTTTAACGTGTCTTTGAGATCTTTCCTTATCATGACGAAGTATATGGCATGGTCAATGCTAAGAAAAAAAAATTTTTTTTCACACTTTAACATCTTGGAAATCAGAACACACCTTAACTTTGATGCCTCACAGTATAGCTGGCAGCATTTTTCATTTAAATGCCGGTACATCTTACAAGCAGTGGTGTTTTAGATTCAGCGGAGCGTGGCAAATCCATGACATTCTCTGAAGGGCTTGCAGTCCTCCACTGTGAGGAGTACTAGGTACTTAACAGTCCCTATATGCAGTACCTTTTACTTTCACCGTCTTATAATTCTACGCTTTGCTTCCACAAAAAGGTAAGTTCAAGAAAGAATGCCAGGGAAATGCTTACTATTTGGTTTGCATTAAGCAAACCAAAGAAAAAGGTTTTCCACACTTGTGCTTTTTTATTTCCAGCATGCCCACTGTTCAAGGAATTCCCAAAGAAATGGCAGCGGGCCGCACAGTTTGCAGCGGAGACTTCCTTGGGCCCAGGTGGCCACAGTGGCACGTAGGCGCCCACTGCTGTCACCCCAAATTCCACCCGGCACACTTCCGAGGTGGCCGAGGTGCTCTAGGGAGCAAACTACTTAAAGGAAAAAACCAAAAAACCAACAAAAACTGGGTCGACAAATCAGGGCAGAGCCTGCTCTTCCTTTCTTCTTAAAAACACACACACACAAAAAAAAAACCACACAAGAAAGTAAAAAATAAAAAAGTCAGCTGCATAGACCCAACTTCTCTCTAGGATTTAGTCTGGAAAAAAACCAATAGAATTTGTTTCTTAGAGATGAGAAAAACTGCAGTTATAGAAAGCGCTTTTATGGGATTTCCCCTTTTGTTTGGAAAGCGCTTCAATGATTTCTAGAGCCACTTGTTCAATCAGAACCTTAAAAAGAAAAACAAAGGCAACAACAACAACAAAAAAAGAGCCGGCTACCAGCGTCCACGTAATACCCACCTGCGCCTCCGGGGGGCCCCCTTCATCTCTAATCAGCAGCAGATAGCTCTGTCCATCCACCACAATCTCTTTCTTGAACCTGCCACCTGCCACACACAGAAAGAACCTCGTTACAAAAGGAACACAGAGTGTGAAGAAGGGCAAACAGACGTGGGCTTCGCTTGTGGAAAAATACACCCTGGGCCGTCGCCCTGGAGGGAGCTAGCTGTGCGTATTTAGCAGTGGATTTCCACGTCTGCAGCAACCACCGAATTTTAAAAGAACTGGACTCAGATTTAAATAACCGTGTTCAGGCACTGTGTTCACTTCCAGTTGGAAGGCACCGCCTCACTCCCGCGCAGCGCCGGGCGCTCACGGCCAGGAGGGGAGGGATCTGCGAGTGCCGGCTTTTACGTGCGAATTCAGGGATTCTCACTCGCTGGGAAACAGAGAACACCGAGACTCGTCATTCTCTCGTCGGGTTCACGGAGCCGGAACGAACCGTCCAGGCTTCCACAGGGCCCTCGTCTGCAACCGCTTGGCAAATTAAAGGGCTGAGACCTGTATTCTCCTCAAGGGAAACCCAGTTCTTGGAAGGGAAACACAGAACATCATGAGGATGGCGTTTCTGCAGCCACAGGTCACGGGCAGGGAGGATGCTCACTAACTACTACACACGGGTTACACAGAAACTACTGATGGGATCGCGGCACAGGGCGACACAGAGCAGGGCAGCGGCTGACGAGGGGCGTTAGAGACCACACGGGGTTAGCGGGACCACCGGGACCCTGCTGGCACGGGGGGCAGAGAGACAGGCGGGCGGGCGGGCACGCAAGGGGTGCAAGGACACCCAGCCGCCCACGGCACCCCGGGTGGGACCGCCAGACCCTCTCCTTCCTGCACAGCGAGCAAGATTCTGCGCTGGGGTCGTCCTCTGCCACCTCCAAAGACAAACCACCCATCGGGAATCCGACCCTCACGTGACGCTCAATTCTCAGTTTTGAGAGAAGAACGCGTTGAGTTCCTGCCCTGGTTTTCAGCTGCTCTATGCAAACGCCTTCCAGAAACCCCGCCCAGACCCCAGATAACTGGGCTGCGGAGGACGATGCCTGCCGTTCTGCCACCCGCCGCCCAGGGCCACGTCTGACCCCCTGCCCTGCGACGCGAACCTCCCGTCCTGGCATCCTGGGTCTGGGCCACGTCAGTGGCCACGAAAGAGAAACTCGAGTGCTCGGCCCACCATTTCCCAACCTGAAGACGAGCCCTTGGCCCAGCAGACGGGCGCTGCCCTCCGCGGGCAGAGAGGGCTGGCTGGGACACTGCCCTCTCTCCGCGCTCTCCCGCACACGCACGCGCCACGCCTATGCCCACGGCACGGGCTACCGCACCTGCTGTGGCCGGAGTTCCGGTCGCTCGGTGACAAAAACAGAAAACCTTCCAATGCTGCAGGTACACTCGCATTCTGGCGTCCCCATCAACCAAAACAGAGGGCAGAGCCCACAGACAACAGTTAGGTGGGTCCACCGGCCGGGCCGCCGGGCCCAGACACGCCGAGACGCTCACGCCGAGCCAGCCGGGCACTAACAGCAGCAGGAGGACCAGGAAATGACTTAGGGTCCCTGAATCGCAGACCCCTCTCGGGTAAAAGGCGAGGACACCCCCGTCCTCCAGCAGAGCCACCGCGACTATGAAATAAGCTGGGAAGCGTGTGACAGGCAGCAGACGTGCCCCTGGGGTGTGACGGCCACCGGACAGTCGTCCCCTGGCGTTGGCCCAGCTCCGTCTGAATGAGTGGTGTGAGCCCACGGCTGTGTGGCCTCTCCCAGCTGTGTCCCCCGAGTGAGTGGGACGGGGGGAGGAGCAGACATGGCACCCCGAGAGGTGCCCACGGGAGCCACGCCAGCAGGGGTTTCTAGCGCTGCTCAGAACGTGCGCTTCTATCGAAGACGCACTTAATATTTAACAAGCCTGCTCGAAACAGGAAAATGTGCAAAAGTTAGGACAGTGACCGATATTGTCATCCTTTGCTAAAAGCTCTTCTAAAAAAAAGAGATGCTGGAAACCTGCTCTTTCTTGCTGAGATGGACTGAATTCAACCTTTTAGGAAGAGTGGTATTTGAAAAGGAAATCTTCATTGTCTCTTTATTTTGGGGGAAAATCTTTCCCTTCACACTTTGTTCCCAGAGGTGTGCTTAGTCACACCTGCCAGGAGCAAGGAGAAAGCCACAGGAATTTGTGCAAAGGTCTAAAAATGTTTCCGACCATTCTCAGTGTCTCGGTCTAAGAGTTCTACCTCTGACGGGAACCTGAGTCAGGTGACGGCCACGGCGCAGCTGCCTGGGGAACGGCCTCCACCCAGCCGCGCAGGCCCTCGGCTCCCGGCCAGCGCTGCTGCGGCCAGCCCCTACATCTGGTCACCAACACCACTGGGGCGGGGGACCCCCGGACGTCCTGCGAACAGTGACCTCATCTCTGTCCCAGACTCTGGCCATCCTGACCTCTCATCGAGACTCCACTACCCACCCAGATGCCCGAGCCAGGCCCACGGCTCTGTGTACACATTCACTCCCTTAGTGAGCGCCTGCTGTATGCAGGAACATGGGCTCCTGCCATCTGCAAAGTCCCACAGGGGAGGCAGAAGTTTCGATACTCCCAGGAAAAGAGGGATGGGGCACGCAGGAGTGAGTTCCACCTGGAAGGCCCATCTGGAAATGCTTCGCTGGGGCAGATGTCTGGCAAAGCAGCAGTCAGAAAAGGGGGCACTGGGTGGGGGGCAGTGACTGGGCTGAGTGGCTGGGCTGGGTGAGGCCGGAGGGTGGGGGCCGGGGCGAGGGACCAGCCTGGAGGACGAGGACAGCAGGTGGCTGGGGGAGGTGGGGGCTTCATCCTTTCTTCACTCTCATAAGCAACCCAGTGAGCACAGCCCTGCACGGGCAACAGCGCACAGGTGTGAAGCCCTGCCAAGCCCTTCCCAGCTGGGTGGCCTCTGCCAAGCCACTGGACTGCGTGGGCCTCTGTTTCCCCACCTGGGAAACGGGGAGAACACATCCAGCTTTGTTCAATGAGTTAACACAGAAAGGGCGCTCAGAACCCTGCCCGGCACACAGAGGACACAGCAAGCTCAGATCATAGCAGTCCCCACCCCCAGCCCAGCCCCCACCCCCACTATCTGACTTCCAGAACATTCTCATATTCTTCCTTTTTCTCTCCCTCCTGCTTGTACTCAGCGAAACCAAACACATCTCTCCAGCAGGTGTCTGCGCAGGTTTTCCGCCTGTCCTGCACTCGCTCCCAGGCTTGGTCCCTCCCCCTGGCCCCCGACAGCCAGACGCCACCCTGACCGGTGTCCTGAGCCCCCCCACACACACACTTGTGCCCCCAGACACCATGTCTCCGGCAGCCCCCGCTCCTGCCCTGCCCTCCCAGCAGCTCCCCAAACACAGGTACAGGTGGAGGCCCCATCCCTGCCTGAGGGACTCTGGGCTCCACCTCGATGAGGCTGTGCCGGTCCCAGGCCCCAACCCTCCATCGCTAGACTGGGTCGCCTCCAAATGGAGAGGGGAGGCGTGGAGCCTGGCCCTGGGGCCACCCCAGTTCCCTGCACAGCTGGGGAATCCTTGGCTGCCCCGCCTCTCTGGGGGGCAGGAACCTGGTGGGCGTCCCCACCTGGCTCTCCTGGAATGACAGTGACCCCATGTAGGGTGGCTCTCTTCCTCTTCCCACGCCTCTCTGCACCCCCACCCGTCTTACGGGAGCCGGGCAAGCACGAGTTGGATGAATTTGACACGTCCGTTTCCTGCGACATGTTTTTGCGGAATCCTCTACACAAGTGGTATTTCTGGGTGGTGGAATCGCAGCACTGAAGTCAGGACAGGTTTCCTGGGAAGGCACCGAGCTCTCCTCGCTCGCTCTCTCCTCTGGTCTCTGGCTTTGTGACCCCGAGCAAAGGACCCCAGACCTAACCTTCGTCACCTCTGAAAGGAGGGGTGTTTCCTTCTTCCAGAGAAAAGGCCTCTCCCAATTCTAAAACCACATTTCCCCACTAAAATTTGACAGGACACCACCACGCTCCACATCCAATTTCATTTTTAAATTAGATTTTTAAATGTCTATTTTATATATCCCACTGCCACTCACCCTCCTGGTCTATTTTCCCCAACTATGTGTTCCCAGCACCTGATGCACAGCCCTGCCTACGGCCCGCACTGTCAACCTGTCCCAGGGGTGACGTTCACCCTCCTCCGCTGCCAATCATCATGACTTAACATTAAATCACATCAGGGATAATTTTATTTTCCAAAGGGGTTGTCAGTCTCCCCAAACCTGACCTCTGCGTCGGAGGCATGGACACGCACCTGGCTCGGCACACCTGTGTGTAGGTGTTAGGCGAGCTGGGCAGGCTGTCCCCGGAGATGCAGAGCCCCCCGCCCCCGTACAGCTGGCCTTCCGCCCTGAGAACCCGACAGACGGGCCGCAGCTGCCCCACCCTGAGGTGGTACCAGGAACGGGGAAACTGAAACCTGTGCTTCCCCAGGACGCAGGGAGGCCACCAGCGACCAACAGCTCCACGCTGAGCATCCTGCGTGCAGGCAGAGGTCCGTGCAGAACAGAACTAAGCACCCTCTCTGGGCTTGACTTTCCGAATTGGGTTCCACTGCACAGCAGAATTAGGGGCTTTCCTCTCGTTTGAGCTACTTCAGCACAGAGCAGTGCAGACTTCTTAATTGAACTCAACCTCAAGTGCAATTTATTAGGTGTCTGGTTTACCTGAAAGGCAAGCTTTCAGCGTTCCTGGAAAACCTGAAAACTGCCCTGGTTGCCTTTGGTTGCCCTTGAGCTTGCATCTTTGAGTAAGTCAAGGTCCTAATGTGTCTCTAAAGCCAGCACTGCAGAGAGAAAGGCTTGTGAGAGGTGGTACCGAACACGCCCGCCACGACGCTGAAGTGGCTGTGCTCCCTGAGCACCCACAGCACACCAGGAAAAAAAGGATTGAGTCGTGCTCTTCTGCTTTTAAAGTATCTTTCTTAAAGTCCTAAGGGTGTCCTTCACAGTCCACCCATAGCCAATTTCAAGGCTGCCGTTCCGAGTCCTGGCCTCATGCTGGGGG